AAGTAGAAAGTAAATTTAAGGGATTACATTTAACACATTTTATCTTAAAACTTTATCGATTTTATTTTTATTAAAACCTTTTTATTTTACTTTTAAAGTATGGAAATTTTCATTCTGTATATTTGTTAATTTATATAAAATTTTATATTCAAGTTCATTTAATGTCAATCACAAGCAGAAAATTTTTGCTTTGTCGGCACTCAAACTACTATGAAAATAAGAATTGTTGCTCCAAATTTCTTTAGAGTAGCAGAAGATTTCTGTTCTAAGCAGATAATCATACTACTGTGTTGAAAAATATTATATTATTTAATACTGCTCTTTAACTTATGTTTTTGTTTGTTTTTTTTAAATTTGCTCTTCGATTATACTTTTATATGAATTTTATGTAGGACTATCCATTTGTCTACCATCAAAAATTTTCGCAAGAATTTATTCGTCAGTATCTGCACCTTCGACCAAAGACTAGAAAATTTTCTTCCATTTTAAGAATTAGAAATAATGCTTCCATTGCTGTGCAAAATTTTTTTCAGGTAGACATATTTTATTTTCTTATCAATATTTTTCTGTTATAATTGTAGAGTAGTTACAATTAAATTTACAGCATTTGGTGTCTCATTTGTAAAATAAAATACTAATTTGATTTAATTAAATGTGGTACCCTACTTCTAAAACAGGAAGAAAAAATATTGGTTGACTGGAATTAAATATTATGCATAGTTTAAAACAGATTTTCACAAAACAAAATGTAAATCATGAATTGTTAAATTACTGAAAAAGGTGAGGATAAATTTTTTTCATGTTAATATGGTGTAGAATCTTATTTTCTAATTATAATTTCAATTTTAAAAGTCATTTGTTACCATTTTATTTTATCAAGTTTTTTTTCCTAGAAAACTAAACATTTGTTTTTGTTTAGTTAGTATTAGTTTTATAACTTCTTTTAAATCTTATTTATTTCAGTTTAAAATAAATTTGTTTCATATTTCTTTAAGTCTGCCTTTGTAATTTTTTGCTAAATTTTAAACATTGTCAGCTTTTAGTTAGGACAATATTGTTTAGAATGTATTCAATGTAGAATGCAATTTGACAATTATTTGACATTATCAGATTCTTTAATTACTGTAAGTGATAAAAAAAACTGACCTGAAAATTTATATGACATTTGCAGTTACAAGATTTTTTTTTTAATTTTCTTCTACTATTAATTTTTCCTAGTATAATCCTCATTATGTACTTTTTTTTATATTGTACTGTAACCGGAATCCTTAGGACTTTGACTTATCCGAGTAAAGAATTATCCCATATAATAAGTCTTTAAGACCTATTATTCATTAAAATTTATTTCTCATACAGAATTTTTACTCATAATTTTCTTATACATAACGTAAGAAAGAGAGCACATAATTTTTGAAAAGTTTCAGGAAAATAAAAGTTCAAATATGGGTGTTAATATAAGAATGCAGCACTAATTTTTTATAGCCTTAAAATCTATGCTTAGAGAATGCTTTTTTTCTCTGATACATTTAATTATATTTTCAGAAGGAGGGATTTTGCTTCATTCACACCCCTATCATCACACAAAATGACTGTGAGGGAGCTGGTGAAGTGTTTTCAATCGAGGTGAAAATAATATTTTTTATTTCAGTAGCTGTGTTTAATTTGTTTGGTATAATATAGCAAGATAAAAACACAATTTGTTGATATAATAAAATAAATTTGTATAACTTGCATTTTTTTTCTGTTTCTTAATTAAAAATCTCAACAGAAATGAAATTTTATAAGTGATAAAATATTACATTTTATTTAAAAAAAATCAGTTTGTATGAAATTTATCTTATTTCATCACATTTTTTAAAGATACAAAATCTGGAAGTTAACAAAAACCATACAATAAATGAATTTTTTGAATTAGGCTATAATTCCTTGTGTTGTGTAGGCTGATTTCTAAATTATTACTAATAGCTCAGCATGATAGTTTTGTTGCAAAATTTATCTAAATATTCTCAATCTTTCTTTTAATTTTAATTTCAATTTTTATTATTTTATCTCCTTTTTTTAAGGTGAGAGACAAAGATAAACTTCATAAAGAAAATTCTGTTGAGTTTAATAATCAAAGCAATGCATTAAATGATCATTTGAAACTTGAAAAATCACCTCCAATTAGTTCGAAGATAAATAATGAGGAAGAATTTTTTGGCTCTCCAACGTACCTTACAGTATCAGGACAACTGCATTTAGAAGCTATGGTTAGGTACAATATTTACTTATATTTTTTGTAGTAGAATTTAGTTATTTATTATGAATCTTATTAAATTTAAATTTTATCTCACATTAAATGAGTATGTATGGGAGTAAATTTTATTTAAACTTGCCTTGGTGCTTAATACTAAAAGTTATTTTTCTAATTGCAATTGATCACAATTTATCAAATTTTTTGTTTACATTAGTTTGTTTTCTAAATAATTATTTTAAAAAGAAAATAGTTTTCCATTACTGTATAAAAATTCTTATTTTATATTTTATAAAATTAAATTTAAGATGGTTCAACTCATATTAAATTTTAAAATCTGTACTCTAACTACTTGATGTTTATATAGCTACTTAATTTAGGAAGTAAATAATGAGTTCAGTATTTAAATGTATTACGTTTTTTCGTTGATAAAAAATAAAAAACAACATTTAAAGATTTTTAATATTTCTATTTTTTTCCTCAAGTGTTTATACAAATAAAGGTTTCTTGACAAAATGTCATTTTGCCTTTTGCTTTCATTACAAATTACCTCATAAAGCTACTTTATTGGAGCACTTTAACATAAAAATAATGTTTGGTTTTGTTACCTTTTAGTGCTTTATCTCGTGTTTATACCTTTGGGCCTACTTTTAGAGCAGAAGGCTCTCAAACACGTTTACATGCAAGTGAATTTCAAATGATTGAAGCTGAAATAGCTTTCGTTGAAACAATAAATGATGTGTTGCAGGTGAGTATTCCTAATGTAGAAGCTTTCAAAGTAATTTAATAAATTATTGTTTTCCTTACTATTATCAGTAATCTGAAATTCTTTTTAAAATGTAATATTTTGTATTTTCTACAATAACTATAGCTTATAATAGTTAAATTATCACTAATATGTTTACTTTTATTACATTATGTTGGGACAAACTTATTTTTTGCTGTGGAAAAAAGCAAAACAATTTTCTGATACATATAAATAAAAAACTGAAAGAGAAGTTACACGTTTTTAAAATGACTTTCAGTTTAAAGATATATATACTATGTGAGATGATGATATATTGATAATATGTATATTTTTTTCAAGAGCAGTTATAATAGTACATGAACAGTTACATAAAATTTATGAGTTGTGGCGAAAATTGTCAAACCTAACTCCATGTTAGCATTGAATAATATTGTATAAGAAATTTGTTACGTGAATTGCGTTAATACAAAGTTTTGATTCTATCTTTAAAGAGGCATCCTAAATAGGAAAGTTTAAACAAACTCTAACTTTTCAACAACAAAAAAACATTTTCTCTGGTGCATAACATAAAAAAAATAACTATCTTTAACTGAAAATAATTAAGTCCTTCTTCAAACTAATTTTAAGATTTCCACTTAATCTAAGCTAAGATCATAAATCAACTTAGTTTGCATTATATTTTACAAGTGTATTTTGAACATTTATTTATTTATTTTATGCTGGTGAAGAGGCAAGGCATTTTTTGTGAACCAAAAGTAAAGGAATCATATATTATTCATTTTGTTTTCTTAATTTACATATAAATTAAAATATGCTCTTGAATTTGAGTAGACAATGCAGGCAAAGAGCGTAGTTCCAAATAAACTGATTTTCAACACCAAAAAAAAGTTTTTTTTTTTAATGTTTAAACAAATTGTTAAAAAATTTTCTGTATTTTTTAATTATTTCTCTTCATTTTTATTTCTCTCTTGAAATATGTTTTTTTAGAAAATAACAAAAAAAAAACTGGATGGAAAAAATGTTTGAAATAATATTAAAAATTATTTGACAGATGTTTTTAATCAGAAACAATAAAAGTTTACTTTTCTCAAAGTAATTTTTGTATTGTTTTACAGTCTTTATAACACTCAATCAATAATTATATCATCAGGATTTCACCATTTATATTATGTAATTAATGTTTCGATTTAATTCATTTATATTCAGCTGAACTTAATATATTTATTTAAAACTGTGTTATAGATATTTTAATAGTAGTATTAGTTCTATAATTGCATCCATCATAGCATAATGAGTTGTAATATTCTTCAAATTTATTTTTAGGTCGCTGAGAAATGCATAAAATACGTTACTGAATCTTTATTGGAATCCTGTAAAGATGAAATAATTTTTACTAGTGAAAATAATAAAGATCACCAAGATTATATCAATAGAATTGTGTCTAAGGACTTTGTGCAGTAATTATCTTCTTTTTTTTAAATAAAGAAATTTTTTGTGATAGCTTATAAAAATAGTATGATCTTCAAATGAACTGTAGCATTTAAAAGAAAATTCTTTTTCAGTCTGTCCTATAGTGAAGCTATTATTATATTAGAAAATAATAGAAAACGACTTAAAGTTCCTATAAAAGTAAGAATTATTTATTTGCTCTTATTTTTAGTTGTTACATAGTTAATTGTTGGCAAATTCCTTTTATCTGTATAAAGTACTTATATTTTTTTTTTAATGTGATCAATTTCAAGATTGGGTCAAAATTACCAAATCTGAAAACGATGGTTAGAGAAAGGTTAAAAAAAGTTTTTTTTGCTGGTTTGTATCTAACTAATTTCTTTGTAAGCTAAGGAAATTTCGTTTAAACTCCTTCTAAAAACAAACGTTTTATATTCCGGTGATTGGGTTTTGAAAAAAGATGGTTTCACGAACTAATCAGCAATAAATTTTATTATATTTTGTTCTGTTTTTTGTAATAATGAATTTATTATTTAATTAAATTAATTTGTTATTAGAATTGAAAACATTAGCAAGGCATTTGAGTAAAATATTGTACATAAGCCTAATATGAAATGAATAAATATTTATTAATAATACATTTCGTTAAAAAAAAAAAAATTTCTTTGGCAAAATTATACCAGTTATAAAAATGTTTTTATCAAGAATAGAAAGACTATGAAGCTAATTATTTTAAAATTATTATTGTAAATATTTATTTTCTTCCTATGAAATAAATAATTGTGAAAAAAAAGTAATAATAGTGAATAAAGTTCATATAATGAAAAAATTAACAGTGAAAAAAAAAATTTTACTTGTATATGAGCTAAATTATTATTTCATGGCATCTTCATGATTACCCTTAAAGAATAGAAAATCATGATAAAAATTATTTCATGTAAAAGTTCTCATGTAAGCATATTTCATTGAATTATGAAGTATGCTTTTTGATAGATAATTTACTTCATAAACAGTCAATGGAAAAGCACAATTTTAAACTATTAATATTTATTTTTTATGATTTTAGTATGGAGATGATATTGGAACTGACCACAAGCAATTTTTAGTAAAACATTGTAATAATACCCCTGTATTCGTCTCTATGTTTCCATCATCAATAAAGCCATTTTATATGAAAACAGATGAAAGAAATTTGGTAAGAAATTAACTCTAATTTCTCTTTTTAACAGAAATGTCCATTTCCATTCCTATCACTATCTCCACAAATGTTATTGACGGTTTTAAACAACCACCTTCTCCATTAGTTAAAGCAATTTTTGCCATAATCTTTTTTTTTTTATAAATTGTTTCATAAAAATGTTTGCAAAAAAAGAAAATAAATCTTTGAATTAAACTTGTTTTGATCAGGTTTGTAAAAATTTTGATTAAATATTCTAGTTTTACATTTGACTATTTTTTAAAACAGGAACAAGCTACATCTTTTTTGAAAAGGAAACAAATTTTCCATTTTATATAGGAAAAAAAATTGTGCAACGAAACTAATTCTCAGATAGGATTGCACATATTATCCTTTCCCCACCCCCCTTAATACTATGTTTTTCTGTCATGTCAAAAGCTATTATTTTCAAAAAGTAGTCAAGTTTGTTACAATGCAAATTATTATATTAAATTTCAATATTCATGTTTTTCATTGGTATAAGCATGATGTTTAAATTTTAAATATATTTTAAAAAAAGGAAAATAAATAACTCTAAATGTAATTATTTATTTAGATTATGAAATTATTTTTACTTTCTTTCCAAAGTAGGTATTTAATGTTAAATACAACTTTTTTTAAACTATACTTGTACAACTTTATACTCACATGTGTATAAATAATATATATATATTTGCTGTTCAATTTTATGTTGAACAATTTTAAAAGTTTCACATAAAATAACTATTTTAAATAATTATTCATTTTTTCCAATCAGTTTGTTTCAATTTAAGTAATTATACCTATCTCTAAAAGACATAGCATAATGACTCTAAATAACATAGCATTAAGAAAAGAATTATACTTGAGTTTTATAGTATAATAATGTGCAAAGTATAGCCCTTATATTTAAAAAAAGATTTATATCTATATAACCAGTCCTATTTATTACAGGCTTATTGTTTCGACTTATTTGCTCCTTTTGGTGGGGAAGTATGTGGAGGAAGTCTCAGAGAAGATAATTATGACCTGTTGAAAGAAAAATTTTCATTTGAAGAAAATCCTAGTCTTTCATGGTCAGTAATGATTTTTATTTTTATTCTAATTTAATGTAAATAAAAAACTATCATTTAAATATTTTACAAAAATTTTATTGAGATTTGTGTGTCAGCAGTATTCTTTCAAAGCTCAAAGTGTCTCAATTGTTTACTTATCCTTTAAGTGGAAAAATTGTATATCCGAATGAAATATCACTTCCAAAAATAAATAAATAAATACATTCCTTACAAAATGTTTCAAAAATTTATATTAGAGATTGGAAAATGCTATGAAGTCAGACTATTGATCCGTTTTTTACGTTAGTATCATTAAAATTTGTCATGAGAGACTTTTTATTTTTTGGAGGATTTTTTCTTAAAGAAATTCTTTTTAAACTATTATTTGATCTTTTCTATAAAAAGTACAATATATGACTGTAAGCATATTGCATAGATTGTATTTTAAAATTGAAGAAAAAAAGTTATTTTTGTATTACAAATAATTATACATACACAAATAAGTAGTAAAGATACATGAATCGTTAGGCGTTTTATATTTAGACATTGCCGATAATAATTAGAACTGAAACAATACCAATTCTTAACAATTTTGAGTTCTTTACTTTTTTTTTCCAATTTGATATTATTGCAAAATTTTAACAAGAAATTATTACTAAAGAAGTTAAAACATTTTAATGTTAATGCACTTATATATATTCTCAGACTCTTTGTCTACATGAATAATCACAAACTTTTATTAACCTTCCGTTAGTCGCGCGCACCTCACAGGTGCATCCCTACTGCATTTCCACCTCCTTTGCCGTCAATAAATTTTTCCGGGGGTCGAGCCTAATATTATGTTCCTAACTTTGGATTACTCAAATGTCCGTGTANTCATTACAAAATGTTTCAAAAATTTATATTAGAGATTGAAAAATGCTATAAAGTCAGGCTATTGACCTGTTTTTTTACGTTAGTATCATTAAAATTTGTCATGAAGGACTTTTTATTTTTTGGAGGATATTTCTTAAAGAAATTCTTTTTAAACTATTATTTGGTCTTTTCTAAAAAAAAGTATAATATATGACTGTAAGCAAGTTGCATAGATTGTATTTCAATACCAATTCTCAACAATTTTGAGTTTACTTTTTTTTCCAATTTCATAGTGCAAAATTTTAACAAGAAATTATTACTAAAGAAGTTAATATATATAATGCACTTATGTATATTCTCAGACTCTTTGTCTACATCAATAATCACCAACTGTTATTAAGTAACATAACTGTTATTAAGTGATCTTAATGCTACTCTTTTATGATACCTGCTGTTAAAGCTATCTTATTTTTATCAAAGCTTATTAATTTTAACCCAAAAGTATGCAAATTAAATTTTAACTAATATTTACACCAAAAGAAATGTACTTATTCATAATGTTTATTTTTCATGTGCTTTATATTTAAGGTACTTAGATCTCAGAAAATATGGAAGTGTACCTCATGGTGGATTTGGAATTGGTTTTGATAGATATTTGCAATGTGTGTTAGGAATTCCAAACATTAGAGATGTCATACCTTTTCCAAGACGTAAATTTGATTGCAAGTGTTGATGGAACATCATTTTAGACAATTGTAAATACTTTAAAATGAAATAATAAGATTTTCAAGGCTATACCCAATAATAACATTTTATACATCAAAGAAAAATGATGCTGTAAATAAAAGTTTATTTACAAATTATTGTTATATTACTTTAACAACATACAAGTTTTTAAATGCTTATTGATCATTTTCTAGTAATTAGCAGACAAATCAAACAAAAAATTTATAAGTAACAAAATGGATTATTTTCATTTTGAAGTTTAACTATCTATTTTCTTCTCTTCCTGGTTCAATTTAGAAATCTTTTGCTTGTGTCGTTTGATTTCCTCTTGCAGTCTTTCTATTTCTTCTTCATGATGATCTATTTCTTCATGAAGGTGGCCTTTCAAAGATTTAAGCTGCTCTTTTTGCTAAAGATTTGAAGAAGAAAAATAAAGGAAATGACACTACCAAACATTTTGATTGTACATTTAAAGAGATACACCTATTTTAGATATCAGCATCCATAAATCAGATTCTTTTTGTGTGTAAATGTCCTTCTGGTTTTTTTCAAGATATAATCATTATTAAGTAGTAGTAGATATAGAGACTACAAAGCACACTATTAAATTCCTACTAAAACAAGATTTTTGACACAGTCACATGCTTGATAAATGAACTTAAGCAGAGTTTTTTATTTTCTCCGTGTGTTTTAATATCCTCTTTCATAATGTTGTAGGGAGGAAAGTGTTAGCAGCTTATAGCAGAAAAATAAATTAATTTATTTTGGCAAAAAATTTGCATTAATATTAATAAAATAAAGCTTTGCTTTTTTTAAACAATGTAAAATATAATCATGATTCCTAAGAAAAACTAAGGACACATCAAAACATGATGAAAGTATTAAAGATATGTAATGTGTTTTGAATTCAGAACTTTCTTACTTCTTTGCAAAACTTTTGAATATCAAGAAACCCTTCTAGAGAGACATATTAGGCACTGTACAGTTTTTACTTGCATATATATATATATTTTTTTTTTTTCAAATTTGGGTCTCCCCTAAACAGCAATAAAATAAATAATAGTCAAGTTTATAATTTTATTTAACCCTTCTAGGACTGCAGACAACTAAAAAGTATATATTTTGTGAGCTTCCTAATCTGGTGTAGCTCAAAACATGTATCTTTATAAGATGAAAAAATTAAAGTAGGAAATTAACAAACATGTTCAGAAGTCAGAAAAATCTAATGTCTACAATTTTGAAAAGTTAGAAAACTTCTACCATATCACATATTTTAATTAACTCTATTATTTTTGATACCTAACGTATGAATACACAATACATTTTAGTTACTGGTGATCTATTAAGAAGTAAATTACCAATAAATACTAACACTTTTTTCAAGTTAGTTAAAGAAGTTATCACTAACAATATATTTTATTAAAATGCATTACTTGGGTGTTCTTTTAAATTATTATATTGTATTCAAAATTCAACCTTAAACATTTTTTAAATGTTTTCAAAAAAAAAATTTAAAAAAAAGATTATGCATATTTACATTGCAGTTTTTACATAAATTACATTTGAATAAACAAATTTTTTAAAAATTGATTGTATTAGATAACAACAGCTTGAGAAAAAAAATTATAAACCTACTTGTTTCCTAAAATATTCTTCTTCCCTTGCAGCTTCCATCTTACCAAAACTACCACCAGCATCCCTAATAATAAAAGTTAAAAATTTGTTATAACTAAAAAAAAAACACTTTCTTTAGACGAAGTATATACATATTAAAATTAGCAAAATAAATAAGCTAAATTTAACTGTGCCAACATGAAGATATTAAAATTTGATATGCTTTAAGCAAAATATACCAATCAGCTACATTTTAAAACTGTCTCTAGTAGTGTTTTGAGTAAATTATATTATGATTTCCATAAATGCAATAAAAGTTGTTTTTGTGCACAGTGATGTTATCTATTAAAAAATTCAGAAACTTGAAATGTTTATTTCAAAACAAAAAAAACATCACATTAATGCCCTAAGCCTTTTATTCATACATTTTATAGCCTAACCTAAATCATTTAATTTTAAAATTAAACAATATAATAAATAAAATATTATTGAAATGAGAGTTAAACTATATTAAATTTCAGAAGCATTTTAATTCAATATAATTGAGAGGATTAGAATAATAACGGCAAATCTCAACCATATCTCATTTTAAGAAAAATCATATGTTACGGGCAAGGTTAGAAATCCAGCATACCATTTAATGCTTAGGAATTGTATACAATTTCCTAAAACGAGTCAGCTATGTATGAAACTATTCATACTTCAAACCTTTCCTAGGCATTTTATAGAATAATAAGCCGGCAAAGTATGAAATACATCTCCACTTCGTTTTGAATGTAATGAATGAAATTTCATTCAGGCCTACATGTAGGTACAAGTAGGTTAATTTTAAGTTCTTATTTTTTAAACGAAAATTTTATTTCCCTTAATAAGTTTCTTTTTTACAATTTTCTTTACACAATTTGAACACATTTTTTAATGGCATTCTCAATATTTTTGCAGAATGAATAAAATTTTTATTTTTTAGAAATATGTGTGAAAAAAATATAATAGCGAAGCAAAATAAAAATATAATAGCCTATTCAGAACTTTTTTGCGTATTTTTCTTAAACAAAATTTGTCATTCAATGGAATGTCTGGGTATTAATGCCTAAGAAAATTATGTAATAATTCTAATATTTTGCTTTAAAACGTATAGCATTATATACAATGCCTAGGCAGTTTATAGAGTGCCGACATTTCTTACATTGGCGGTAACAATTGTACACCACTGAGATTTTAATTTTTGACAAGTTTTAAAGGTGGAATGTTATTTCATTTAACGCTTTGTAAGAAAATGAGATGAGGTGGCAAAAGTTCAAGGTTGCCTGGAATAAGCACTTCGAATTCTGAACATCTCAATAGTGAAAATTTTCAATTAAAAAACAGATTCAATAAACTTTTTATTACCTGACAGATCCACCAGAACCTCCACCCTAAAATAGTAATTATATCAGTTATTTAAAACTTAAGTTAGTACAAACATTTAATGTTTTCATTTTTAAAGGAATATTTTATTTTTACAATAAAATGAAATATTAAGCTTTCATAAAACCTGAAAAAATCTTTTCTTTTTAGATTATTGACTGAGGATCGAATCAATTAGATAATTTCAACACTCATTAACTTTTTATTTTCGAAAATTAAAATAACAAAAATTTTCACAAGTAGTCTTTCTTTCTTATATATATTTTCTGAAAGCTTTATTAGTGTGTAATGTGTTAAAATTATTTTCTAAACATTAAGAGTTAAAGTGACCAATATAGAATTAAATTGCATGCAACACAGTCATATTTTTATTTATTTTTAAAAAAAACTAAATGATTAAACCTTGTTCCTCAAAAAATATTCATCTTCTTTTCTACTTACTTTTTTGAGCTTAAGAGGTAATTGAATCAGGGTTGCCAGGTTTTTGACATGTGACAGTTTTTGACGGTTTAAACCATGGTTTAAACTGTCACATCAAAAACCTCACTGTCAAAAATGTCAAAAACCTATATTCATGTGTGAAATTTAATTAATACATAAAATTTATATATTTTTTATAAAGGATAGTGTTTCTAAACATGTTCTAGAAAAAATAATTTTAAAATTTTGAAGAAACACTGATATTTTGAATAGTAACCAAAATATTGTACTTTTGAAAACTCACATCTTTTGTAATATTATGTATTCATTTTCATGTGTTATTGAAAATCTGCAGGGATATTGAATAATTACTTCTTGCTTTCACTACTTTTAAATTCAAATTAACATACTGGATAATATATTCGGTATAACATTGAAAAAAAAAAATTTTTACACTTGTATGAAGTTTGTATTTCTACAACATAGCTTGTAAGTTCCTTATAAATATTAGTTATATGTTCCCTATATGTGAAAAATGCATAGTAATAAACTTTTAATTT